GTTATTTGAGCCAAGCATAAAAAACAGAGCCATATGCCATGAAAGCATGATCTGTATTGCCCTCGTGTTTGTTTGTTTTTGTGTGCTCTTAACCGGGAAATGGAGAATATGCAGGATCATGCTAGAAGCTTAGGAGAGTCATGCCTTTCTCTCGCCAAAGGACATTCGAAGACGCATTTCGCTTGCCATGAAATTCATCATTCGACTACTCTCCTATTCCTCCTTCCTGATCCTGATCCTCCTCTCCGTCTCCTTCCCCTTCTTTTCAATCTCCTCTTTTTCCTCTCATATCAAAAGCAGTACGAATTTCCGCCTCATATCCACTTGCTTTAGTAGGAATTAGATGATGCTGAAGTCCTCCTGGTTTTTTCTTTTATTCCAGAAAGACTTGTGTGTGTGTGTTTTGCGAATGGACTGACATTTAAGACTGTTCATGCAGACAGATTCTTGGTGTTAACTAAATGGGGATTTGACAAAGTCTCTCAATAGATCGAGATATTTTCAGTAAGGCAAAGATTTCTGGAGGGAGTTTGACACAGCTCAAAGGCCACACTTTGTAGTACCGGTGACTGGTCGTCACAAGCCAATCCCAGAAGATCTGCTCACTTGGACTCGTTCGAGTCCCGTGACTGTCTCGTTTCCGGAACCACCGGTTAGAGGCAGGTTGAAACTGATAAAAAGGCTTGTTGGTGTGATGCTCCGTTTGTGCCTGCTGCAGTTTTCCCACGAAGAGCTTCTCTGCCTCGATGCCATCCGATGTAGGCATGTCTGTCAGTCTCTCGGATGTCATTCATTCGTCCGGTCAGGTAATTGCGACAATACAATTGTACCCTTATCTCCATCGTCAACCTGTTAAATCCCACTTCATTTTAGACCTGACCGATTTAAGTGCTCTATCAAAAGGTTTCTCGCTCTCTTCCTCTTCCATTTTTCATCTTCTTTTCTCTCTCTCTCTCTTTCCTTAGCGCGCGCGCCCATACACACACCCACAGACAGACAGACAACCATGTAATAGCAGTAAAGAAAAAAAAGTTAATCCGGAGAGGAATGTTATCATTCGGCTTGTCTTTGATGGTCCACGAGCGCTTGAAAGGATTCCCTTCCTGACGAACCTGTACGGCATCCCTTTGAAGAGAGGTGCAAGTGTGCACTGGGCATCAACTGACAAAGGCATGAAGACACACGGTCGGATACTCATGCACCCCCCCCCATCATCTGCCTAGGGGGGCAGTCATCTTCAAAATCAACAAGACACCAGCAAGAGGTAGAGAGGTCGAGTCTGGAGCCTCCAGTTTCCACAGCAATGAGGCTGTAGAGAAGTGTGGGAGAAGTTCAGAGGCTGAAAGGAGGGAGGGAAGCGATCACTTAACTTGGAATAGGCGGTCTGCATCCCAGTTTCGCATCCTTTCTCTCCCTCTTTTCGTCTCCCTGTTCCTTTTTGCTAATTCGTCTGTCGCACGACAACACAGCGGGAGGGGAAGTCAATCTCTCCTTCGGAATTTCGCAACAGAAGGCGACACGTCACCAATTCTGGTTAGAACCGTTGACCCTTCGTAGGATAAACATACATCCTGAGGACAAAGAGGGTGTCAAGACGACTCGGTCAACCAGGAGCGTGGACACGGCAACCGACCGGAGGAGGCAGGCACTGAGGTCGAACAGGCGAGATGCCGACATTCTCGACACGATTGGAGAGAGTCGGTCTGAGAAAGGGTTCGTTGCTGCGTGTGGACGTCCGACTTGGCGGTCTTTTGCGCGATCAAACTGATCCTTTCACGACGTTCCACCCGATCTGTGGATTCGAGAAGCCAGAATGCTCAACTCGTTGCCATGGGGACGAGACGCTTGTCGAGCCGTTACGATTAACTTAGCCTGAATCCAGTTGGAGTGCGGAAAGATGGAAACGACGATCTGGTCAGGAGGAAGAAGTCGA